ACTTTAGGGGTATATGATAAATAAACAAAAAAACTTAGGGGTATATGGTGAAAAAACCTGTATATTTTTAGTAAAGTAATATATATATATTAGCAGCTCTTTATACATAGTACTTGACTTTATCAGCTTTGATGAACTAAACACAAATAATGATGAAATTGTTGCATTAACTATAAACCTTTAATTCTCTTATTACTATTTTATATATAAGCATTTTAGATAATTTTTCATAATATGATTTTAAAGGTAGAGAAAAAAAGAAAATCACAAAAAGTATGTTATGTCATTTAAAAGTAAATCAAAATACTTTAATCCAGGAATCGATTTGAAAAGTTGCAAATTACAAAAGTGTCATTAGTGACATGAGAAGAAGTATGATGATCAAACAACCCAAATTGGTTCTCTATTCTCAATTTAGCCTACGGTTTTTATCGGATCCTGATTCTCTTGCTATATAGTAAAATTTGTCACTTACTACCTACCAATTTAGGCACTTTGTCACTACTTTTTTTTTAATTTTTTTATTAGTATTATTATTTTTTTTTGGAAAAAAAAGGTAATTATTACCTTTTAAATGGTTTCATGATTACTATTGCTACATTTGTCCGGTTTCAGCGTTTTTGGCATTAGAATGAAATTATCATTATGCGTTTTTCATTTATCTAACCAATTGTAATTACTAAAAAGAAATGCTAAAATTTTTAATCTAAATCTTAATTAACCCTTATATTACCCCCACATTTTATGTTTGCACACTTATCTAAATCTTTATTCTCAGAGGAGCATCATAATGGATCTGGCTCAGTTAAGGAGGATTAAAGCCCTTTGAAACCTATTCCAAACATGGTGCCTTAAGTATTCACAATCGTCGCTTATTCCACTACAGCCACAATGTGACCATCTCTGTTACCCAGAATCTCTCAGGCTTGGCTATATTCTTAAATTTTTTCATGATTTTGAACTAAATGAACTAATGAAGTGTCTAATTGTCCTACCTATGCCTAAAGGGTCCGACATGGATACTTAAAGTAAAATGAAGAGTCCAGATAACATAGCCATCACGACACCTCCAGATTACCGTGCCCCTTTTATCACTTAATATTTTTCTTTTCCGAGTGACGTTTTTTTAGTGTTGCTCAAATTTGGTCAAAAAACATTGAATTTCCAACATATTATATCTTTTTTTTGACAATTTAGCATTTAAATAATAATTTTACATTCAAGTAGATCTAATCAAAGCAAAAACTAGGGTCTATATGTTTTGGTTCATTAAATGGTTTTCTTTTCATAACCTAAAGTATAAAGTAAGCTTCAAATGATTTTGGAATTTATTTTAAAAGATGAGTAGGGAAGATGAAGGTAATGGCTAGATAGAAGGTTTGGAGGTGGTGATGAAGATATAGATGAACATTCAATCGTAGACAAAAAGAGAGGAGAGAGAGAATTAATTAAAGATTGACCAATGTTTGAAAAGGCCCGCCTAGGTGAGCCGCAAGGCGTTATGCGCCTTTTGTGGTCTAGGTAAGGCGATGATGATGATGCACAGCTAATGCGCACCTACGTGCACACCCTAGGTGCACAAAGAGTTTTGCAGAATTTTTTTTATTTTTTATTGTTTATTATATGCGCCTTTGAACTCCATAAATGTATGTGACCATTTCATAGATCACACATGGAGTCTGTAAGAGGGAGTTTGGGGAGGGGGGGGGGGATTGTAATGCCTTTTAATGTATTATATTTATTGGTTTTGTATGTAATGCAGATGTTACCAACTTCTTATCCATAGTGTTACTATTCATGTGATCACATGTGGTGAGTCATTAACAAGAAAATATCATATTTGATTCATTTCAAATTGCATTTTCAAATCATAAAACTATTGTCATAATTAATGGTATAAATAGTCAAACGTTTGCGTTAGACACTACAAGCAGAGGTTGTATATTTTATTAACTTTAGTTTATATTATTTTGGCTCATAAGTAATCATAATTATAGGAGATTACGAATTGTTGATAATGCTTAAGAATTAAACAATGAAGCTAAGTAAATTCCCCACTTGAAAAATGAGGAATCTCGTTAAAACACAAAACTTAAAGGATCTAAATGATGTCCTCTCACCAAGGATATGCTTATGTTACGTCCTCATCATGTCCTTGATTTAAAATGATGGATTGGTAACTTTGAAAGAAACTATTACCATCATACTTGTAAACTAACAAACACATGAAAGATTTTGGATTATTGTTTTGTGCATGGGAAAGCTATGTGTTGTGTGACTGTTTGGTAGGTCAGCTTTATCTTATAGTGAAGCAATATGACATGAAAAGTTATATTCCATAGCTACGTACATGACAAGCCAGCATACAAATTGACTATTGTTAAATAACTTATTTCCTAAAGCTAGCTATATATGTTGCCAATCAATGTATATGGAAGAGTTCCGGATTTTTTTTTTTTTTTTTTTTTTTTTTTTTTTTTTTTTTTTTTTAGAAAAAGAAGATTTTAGAATTTAATAAAGGAGTTTGACCTGAATATATATCTAGTAGCTAACTATGCGGATATCTAAGCTTGATGAAGGCTATTCTGACTGCCTTAGACCATTAATAATAATGATTCTAGCTGAATCATTTAGAATTCAAGCTCTTTATGCACTTCAATTGAGCCCAATGATCTGTTCAATGACTAATTTGTGTTGAATTATCGAAATTGAACTTTAGAGAAACTTTCTATGGTCACCTAGGTTTTAGATGACTAATTTAAGTCATGCATGTTGCAAACCTCTTGATCTTGGGAATAAATTCGTTACTCCATTATGATATAAAATAGGTACAGTTTAACTAGGGCTGTCTCGTTCTCCATTGTTCTAGATAATGGTTGCATTGCATTGAATCTACCTTCCATGGTACTGCCATTTTTTCTTGATGTCTTAGCAAAGCAGTTGACTCAAGATTGGATGTTAGAAAAGGGATTGAAATTGACATGACCTAATCGTTAAGGATTATGTAGTTAGGCATGATAGCAGATTTGTGTTTAATGGTACCAGATAAAGATGGTGCATGAGAGGTGTGGTATTACCATATTGGTGCACACATGACCCTTTTTCCTTATAATTGTTGTGTTTTTTGTTTTTTGTTTTTTCTGACATGTTTATTTCTAGTTTCCCTTGTGTCTTGATTACCGTTGGCCATAATTTCTCATTTATCTTTACAATGAGGTAAAATGAAGTAGTTTTCCCTTGCATTTATCTTAATTACATCAGTGTTACGGCCTTGGTGCCTCCTGCACACGTATTCCACAAATGACCACAAGGAAGATGAGATTGGTAACATTGGCTAGACTGTCCATAAGAGGACAAACAGCATAGGTAGGCGAATGTGATTAATAAGAAGATCACGTGGCAAATGTTTTTACTTATCGAGCCTATACCTTGCTTCCAACTCTTGCTTGCCCAGTTGCCCCATTGAAATAAAAGTCTAAAAAGTTGGGTGTTGCATTATGCTGACCATAGATTTTCTTCACTGGTCCATGATTGAATTTACTTACAGCAAAATTTATTTTTATGGGTTTCTTCTGTATGATTCAATGTATACAATAGCTATAGTGCTTTTGTCTATGCATTGTTTACTCTATGTTATTTTGTGTGAGTGAGTGAGTTAGATCTCTGTGATATCTTCTTGACATTCTCTTCCTTGCCTTTTGGTCCCTCCTTTATGATCCAGTATAGTCTCTTGGTTCTGTGAATCTGTATGACAATTGATGAATTCTTTGAACTCCCTGAATCTCAATCTCTTTTTGATCTATCTCCCTTGGGTTTTGTAGCATTAATAAAGACAGATCCCTATGTCTACCATGTAAATTACCTAGGCAAAATTGCTATTGCAGCTAAAGAGCTGCTTAGTACATTTACCACATGTTTGTACAATTATGGATATTGCCTGCTGATGGTGAAATTGGATTGCCGGAATAGAAAACTATCACAGGCACAGAGGCAACTGGTTCCGATATGTTCTGTAGGTAGAAGTACAAGTGTTGTCCTCTTTAGATATCATTGCGTCAATCATGATGCTGCGCTTCAATTTGTTTCAGACTAACTTGGTGACACCCATTATATGGCTGTATAATATGTCCATTAGGTCAAGGTCATTAAAATTGACAATCATGAGCTGCTTGGAGTTTAGCTTAGATCGATTGTACTTGATTGTAGAATATTCCTTAAGTTTATTTCATCTCATAAGATGAGAAGCCTCATGTAATGAGAAAGATGAAACAAAAAGTTGAGTTATTTTTTAACTTTGTTACTATGACGTATGAACATATTTGTTCAATTATGTTCATCATTTTTTTTGAAACAATACTACTTTATATGTGTTGTTTGTTTGAGGCATGAATTTCTTTACAGGTGAATTTTGGAAAACATGTACCTGCGATTCATACATAATGTACAGAGTACTTGCATATAAAAGATGGTTGATGAGCTCTTTCATTTTTTGTTTTAAAAAACAAAAAAGAACATTAATTTGAGGCATAGAAGCAATGTCTCTAGAGCTCCAAAAAATATGTACAGGTGCTTCTAGTCCCTTGTGTATATCTTATTTTCTCTGAACAGAAAGGTATTTAGAAGTTTTTTTTTTTTTTTTTTTTTTTTTTGGGAATAAAAGGTATTTAGAAGTTAGGACCATAATTTCAAGCTATCACTTGACTTCGATTAGGCCAGATCGCCCCAGAGGAACGTGCCCACGAGGGCACCACCAGATGTTGTAGACAAACCTGACCTGCTAGAGAAGAAGCTGAGTCCTAATTTACAATCCCTCATGTTATAACGTGTTAAGCTTACATGTTATCTTCGTGAGCTAATTTAGTTTTTGTTGAATTCTTGTATGTTTTGGGATCCTACGCATAAATTAAATGTGTAAATATTTCTGATGAATGAATATTTGAATTGCGCGCTTTTTACTATTGATATTGTATTAATTTTTGTATAATTTACAATACTTTCAGCCGCATAACAGCTGAAGCCTGAGTTCTAAGGTTGGTGATCAAGGATGGGCTGGAAGGAATTGATTTGAAGATAGAAGCTTGTCTTAATCATGATCTTTTGAAGACTCTTAATTAATGTATCTAATTTTAATTTTTATTGAATTATTTTGGATGTCTAGTTAAGTTTGTGTTTTTTTTTTGCATTTGGAGCTTTAAGGGGTCGTATGTCATATTAAAAGGTATGTATTAAAATTTGGAGTAAATTAATTGTTAAAAATTATTGACATGTGCAGGAAGTTGACAGTTAAGTATTGAACTTGAACCCCTTTTTTTTTTTTTTTTTTTTTTTTTTTTTTTTTTTTTGTAGATTAAAAGGTGTGTTTTGTATGATCATAAGAAACATAATTGAATGGTATCAAAAAAGTGAGGGGAGGGGAGAGGTAACCATAAGTGTTGTTAATTTGTTATTTATTATGAGTTGTTTGATTGACAACAGAATTGTGAATACTTTTGGTTGTATCATTTTTTTTTTTTTAATTTTTTTTAATTTTTTATTTTATAGCAAATATATAGCTCATTATTTTTCGGAAAAATTACCAAAGGAAGCTTCATTAAGAAACTATACTTCATATTAGACGCTTTGCAAAACTATTTACCAAACTGAGCTTGAGGGTAAAACGCTATCTAGGGTAGCGTTTAACCCCCTAACTGAAATGTTTGACAAAATATTTTGCCAAGGGTGAAACGCTACCCTAGGCGGCGTTTTTTCTTCAAACATAAAACGCCAACCTGGTCCTGAAACCTGCAGGCTTCTTGCCAACCTGCTGCCACTCCCACCACCATTTCAACTACTGCCAACCACCACTTCCATTGCTACCAACCACTTCTTCCACCACTACCAACCACCACTTCAACCACTCCCAACTAACACCAACCACCACAAGACCACCACTTCGTACACCTAAAACCAACAATTTTACAACCTTCATCCACCAGTTCCATAAAAATCATGCACGCGTACAGTAAAGTTGATAAATGGAAAAAAAAATAGTTAAAAAAAGCCAATTATATTAATAATATTTGTTTGTATACAACTACTAGAGAATCTGATTACAACAAACTAACAAAAGCAATTCTAAGATCCTGATTCATCTATTCGACGTAATTGCTCTTTATCAACTCGCGGTCTCCGACGACGAACGTACTGAGTTATAGTTCTGAAAGGATCTGGGGGAGGAGTCTGTTGGTTGGATGACGGCCCCCCCTGTGATAAGTATGGCGCAGACATGGGTACTGTGAAATCCTCCGGGATTTCACCAAACTGCGAGGACGTTGTAGGGGACGTGTGAGTCTGTCCCCTACTACTCTGGCCTACCTCACGGTGTGAATGCTGTTGGGAGCCTTTACCGTACTGTTGCTGTGATTGGTCGCGCCTCTGGATAAGATAACCATGACCATGTCTTTGTAAGCTAGTCACAGTCATTACTTGAATTTCATCTATCTGCGGTATGGTGGGATATGATATGCTTAAGACTCCCAGTGCATCATGTATAACAAGCATAACAAATGCATGCATAAGTTAACAATCAGCAAGTTTAATAATATCAGAAATTATAAATTGATAAAAAAAAATCCATCTAAAACTCACATATCCATTGATGTCTCCAAAAGCTGGCTGATAATGAGTTGAGGGTGGGGTGTAGTTAGGGTTGATGAAGCATCGGGTAATGATCCTGTACCATACCATGTATTGATCGTGATACTCCATCCGGCCTTGGAAAGACGCACCATCCACGACGTGATGCAACCGCTGATCCTACATGTTAATGAAAGGGGTATGTTGAACTGCCGAGCTCACGTCCCCCTTTCCTCGTCGGTCTGTCCTGTGCAAGTGGACACTCGTGTCACACATGGCGGGGACGGCCTGATGAAGGCCGAACTATCGCATGACTCTGTCGGGGAGGTGAGCCTCCTCTACCTCAAAACAAATGAGGACTGTCATGGCACGCCACTCCATGTGATGGCACGAAGATATGAGGGCATGGCATTGACTAAGTCAGCGACGTACGGATCCTACGTCATCTGCAGTAACATGTCGTCAGTAACATCATAATTAACTTATTGAAACAATGAACGGGATGTTAATTATTTTTTATAGTGTAATTGATCACATGAGACTCGCTCAGTCTTTCGAATGCGTCTCTGTAATACGGTAGACTCCTCGTTGCATGCACATGAGTAAGTCTCCGCACCAACCACCTAATTATATATAATAACAGTGTTCATGAAAAATTATTAGCAAAATAAAGCGGTATGTGGATAACTTAACAGTAAGTCATACATACTTGCAACCGTATGCCTGGTCTAGTGAAGGGAGTGGCGGAGCCTCATATGCAAGCTCCTGATCGTCTTCCTCCTCATGGCCACCTTGCTGTCGATAGTTAGCAGCCCTAGCTGGCCTACCAACGTGGATGTGCTCCCAAGCCCATAACTATAATAAAAAACACAAGTTTAAGTTTAGTCACCGTTAAGTACGTAATAGTTAAAAAAGGTACAAAATTAAAGGGACTACCTGAAGCACAATCAAGGGACCACCAATCACCCATCTACCTTGTCGGGATTCTCTACATAGATGGCGATACAAGGTCGCCAGACACGCACTACCCCAGCTGTAGTCACGTATCCGCTCCCAGCTGTTCTCTAACAGCTGTAGGTAGATCAAATGTATGTGACTACCTCTCTTGTTACTAAATAACGATCCTATCAACATGAACAGGTACGCTCGAGCGTATATCTGAACGACTCCATCATTAGCATCAGGAGGCAACACCCAAAATATCACTCGTAACCATATGTGTCTCAGCCCTGTGCCTCTAATATCGGCGACCTCAGGCCTCACCCCTAACACCCTCTCAACAAGGCCACGAGGGTCCTCTATAATGGGCCTTGTCACTGCCCTACCACGTATTGGGAGTCGTGTCAGTATTGCCACATCTCGGAGCGTGACGGTGGCCTCCCTAACTGGTAGATGGAAGGAGTGAGTCTCTTGTCTCCATCTCTCAACGAGCACAGTAATTAGCGCTCGATTTATAAGTTTGAAGGCCATCTTATAATCCGCGAAAACCCACAAAATCGGTGTAATGTAGTACACGCGGGTCGACGACCCTATATTCCACCGCCCTGCCAACGTGGTGCCTGCAAAGCAAGCACCATGTTGTATTAACTTGTACAACAACAAAAATTATATTGTTAGATCAATTAACATAAAAATTGCCAAAAACATAAAAGATTTGATAGATGAAAACTTACTGATTGCTCCCATATGTCACGGCTCCGATGGGTGCCCTGAAGTGTCAGGACAGATGGGCCAGCTGGTCCTGGGTCAGCTCGTGGCGGTCCCGGATCGTGTCCCTCCATGATCTCTGTTGATTGTACAATGTAAAACAAGAAATCAACTACATCCTAAGTGAAAACATACACACAACATGTTATTAAACTAAGACATATACTAAGAACAATACCAGTCACCGCCCGTTCGTAACAGACAAGTTCTCTTATTGTGTCCTTCCTGATGACAACGACCACATTTGCTTGGTGGACGGTTAGTCTCATCCATTTAATTTCGTATACGCTTTGACTTTGGCCGACCATGTCCTCGGACCATGCTCTCATCAGGAATGATTTTAGGCCCTCTGTATGTCCTCCACGTCCTCTCACAAGGAATAAACCAGAACTGTGGGACATAAGTATTCGCATACACCTCTGATAGTAGGAAACCGTCCACCCATGGTTCCTTAGAAACTGAAAACTTAAGACACACGACTTGAACATGAGAACACGGTAGGCGAAATATCATAGGCTGTTGCATGTACATGTTCTCAAATTGAAGTTAACGGTATGCTTATGACCTCCTTTTCTGCCTATCCTCTTTCCCCGGTGTGTTTTTACTTGGTATATACCAAGCTGACGGCTATAAACATCCACTGTATGGTATTTTGCTTTTCCGTTATTCTTCTCCAAAATGGAAGTGACCTTAGGTGAGTATGCATATCCATCGGCACGCCTAGCAAGTGAACTATCCCTTCTTATATTAAAATACTTGTTAACTCTGTGGAAAGTGAACTCGAGTTGGGACATGATCGGCATAAAACGAGCTCCCTTCAACACATTGTTATATATTTCTGAGAAATTTGTAGTACATATTCCATACCTACGACCAGCGTCATGAAACAAGGACCACCTGGGAAACGGCACATCCATAATATATTGTAGGGACTTGAGACAAGATTGACCAATCGAACGCATATCTTCATCAAATTTTCTTTCTTGGCGTTGGTAAGCAGCAGCCTTACCTATCTCTCATTTTGTTGTTCTTCACAAGAGTCCTCAAGTTAGAGGCCATGCGTCGAACGCAAAATCTGTGAACGGCTCGTGGCTCATGAAATCCAACCTTTGCATCACTCATTGCAGCAATAATCCCAGCATGTCGGTCAAATATAACACATAGGCCATCCCGTTTAGTAACATGTGAAAGGAATGGTGTCCTTCCAACAAGCGTATTATTCCGATAGAGGGTTCGTAATTATTAGAAAGCTAATTCTTCAGTAGGGTCAAGTGATCGAATGCCTAGGTGGAGGCCACTTTCGATTAGTAATATTAATGCATAATTAATATTATGGCTTAATCTTGACTGAACCCTTAGGGTCGCACCCCGATTGAATAACCGATCCGAAATGACGAATCAATCTGAAGGATTAGATGAGTCATTAGAGTATTACGAACAAAGACGTCGGATATCGAGCTTAGAGCGTCGAGACCGAGCGTCACAAGTCGAGTCGAGTTTAGATTCGACGAGACGTAGATTCAACAAGTGACAAGTTCGAGCCAAGTCGTAGCCTCGCATTGGCCTAGCCATGCGAGTGCTAGGCTAGGCGAGGTCTCCAACCCATGTGTGTCATGCGTGCCTAGCATCTCCTAGCACACGCACATCGCATGGCCCAAGCATCGCAAGATGCGTGCCATGCATGTGTGTGTACTGTGGCTGTGCAAGCATGGCTGGGCGTGCTTGCTAGCATAGCAGCACCAGCCATCACAGCATGCTCATGCTGGGCATGGCTCAGCACAGCCCGTAAGCATCGCTAGGCCTGCAGCACGCAAGTGCTTGATGGGCCTCGCAATTACAAGCAGGCAGCGCACAGCACCAGCATGCATGTGCTATGGCCTATGCGTGCTAGGCATCGCATAGCAGCAGCATCGCACATAGCAGCGCCTAGCAACAGCCACAGCAGTATCGCATGCGTGCTGGCTGGCTGGGCTGCCTAGCCTTGGTGTTAGGCGCCAGCTGGCAGCCTTGGCAGCCAAGGCAGGTTGCCAACCAGCCATATGGCTTGGTCAGCCAGTTAAGGGAGGGGACCAAAGGGGTTGGTGTTTGGCTTGGGGAGCAAGGTGAGTTGGTCCCCCCTTTGGTGGTCCTCACCTACTCTCTCCCGCCATGTGACACTTGGAGCTT